TATTTTCTTCAAACTGTTCTGTTTGAGAATACAAAAAGAAAGGAAGAATTTTAAAAAGCTGAGCACACAATTGGATATATGGGAGCTCACAACCACTCCTAACTGCCATTAAAGCAATGTGTTGAACATTCTCAGGAAACCGTAGGTAACGAAGAGGATAATTCAAACAAAATGTATAGCTTGCAGTTTTATCAGTTGTAAGGAAGGAAATATTCTTCCTCTAGCCTTCAGATTCTTCCAGCTGGATTAAGAATGCAATCTACATGGGATCGATTAATAGGAGTTGAACCATAATTTGAGGTAAATCTTACTCTTTTTCTACATATGGATGATTTAATCTTTTACTCCTTCTCTAGAAAATTGTCACTAGAAGGCTCTCTTTATCTACATCTAAAACTTACCCCAAAAGCTTACTCTGATTCCAAATACACAACTTTTCTAATATTAGATTTATCTGGGGCATGACATCTCCAAAACAAGCAGATATCAACAGACCACTAATGGGGCATTTACTTTTTCTCAACCAACTACCAAGAAAGAGCATAGCGTTTTTGGGATGGCAGTAGCATATTATCAGCTTTAGGTCCCACATTTCTCTGAAATAGCTTCCGTTATTCCCTGGCCAAAACTGAGGTACTCAAATTTTTACCCCAAGATTTCACTCCTGATGTTATTTCTCTGCTTACTTCAGGACTATTAAAATGGTGAATAAAAACATTTAGAATTTTTCCTGTTGCCAATGGAAATAGACTTCTCTCTTCCCCACTCCCATGTCTTTTTAAAATCATGTCCTTGAGAAACCTAGTATTTGTGAATCTTTCCTATGTTCCTTTGATATATATGTGTTTTTTTTTTTTTTCTGGCTAAATGGACCTCTTGCCAGCATTACAACTCAAGAATATTTTTCTTAAGGCCCTAAAGCCATCTTTTTGAAATGTAAATAATAAAAAAGATAGCATCGCCATTTCTTTTTTGCTGTTGGAGTTTGGCTTAGTACCTTGCACCAAACTGTAACCATCTGCTTGTCATAGGGATACCAGATGGTTTATTATTCCTTTACACAAAGACAGTTAGCTAGCCTAAATGGCTATTCCCATGGCTATACAAATTTAGGGTGAAATATAAAATAATGTCTGTGCTCTCAAGTGGTCTGCCATGAGGTCAGTTGCCATTATTCTTGGGAACATGAATCTAAAAGATTGTACCTACTTAGCTGTCTAAAAATCCCTTTTGTGTATTAGTTATGACTTTTTGAGGAAATATAATTAAAAACAAAATCTGCTCCCAACCCAGAAAACCTCTCCACAAAGGAAAAAGAGAAACAGAACCATTTCATCATTGGATAAGCATTAAATCAGAAGATGATGTGATTAATAGATTTCTCCTGAGTTCCTGCCAATCATACAAATCATATCACATTTATATGACAATGGAGGCCTTACAACAATTTTTACATCTTTCCAAAAAATGTTTCTCATATGCAAAATACAAAGACACACATGGCCATCATCTAGTCTGTCAGAAGGCAGTTTTGCAATCTAGTGAGAGCTGCCTGTTGGAGCTAGACTCTTACCCTTCAGAGAAACTGGGGGGTAGGGGCACTCTCTTCATGACTATATTTCAAAAAGATGGTCCCAGATCACTGAGAAGGACATTCACGGGTCTTAAAACTGACAAGGAACATATTTAGCTTTTCAAATGATGCTGGAAGTCTGGGTACAGGGACCCAGATTGGGTTCTGCAAGACCAGTCAAGAAGGTCTTTGGCTTCTTGAAGGATGGAAATCAAATGTGAGCCAGCAGGAAGTGAGAGAAGAGTTTACTGAAGATGTAGGAGAGCAGATAAAGAGAACATCTGGGAGACTTGGAAATAAAAGGAGCACGAGTCTCATCTTTCTTCAGGCTCTGGGGTTTTTTACTGAGGATGGAGGTCTGGCATACATGTCTTCTCAGGTATCCAGGAACTGGTGAGAGCAAAGATGAGGGTCCAGGTGTCTTTCCTTAAAGACAGGGGGTCTGGGTGTCAAGAGGTCTAGTGCCAGTGGCTTGGAATACACATATGAAGAGTTTGTCCAGTCATTCTTACCTGGTCCTTCCTTAGATATAATCTCTTTTAGAGAAATCATTAACTCCTTGTCCCTTACCAGAAGGACATATGTTATTTGCATTCTGAGGTGTGTACAGAGTGGGGTGGAGGTACAGGTCCTAGCAAGAATAGAAGCAGGAAAAGGAGCAAAAAGCAGAATTTTATGGAGTCCTTCAGTTTCCCTGTCTCAAAAAAGATGTACATACATTTCAATGAGACAGAGAAAGAATTTATCAGTTTTCTAAAGTAAATGTTACAAGAAAGGGAGGGAGAGGGAAGTCTTTTCCCTGATTTTCAACAGGGCAAATTAATCTTTCTATTTTTAACTTGCATTTGCTCTTACAGATGTACTTGGTACACTGGCTTATGCTTATTCAAAGTAACATTGAAAAATGTGTGAAGGGGCATGGGAGATATAGGCTTCCAGTTCTGGCATGACTAAGTCACAGTAGTGAAAGGCACAGCATAGGGAATATAGTCAATGGTGTTGTAATCATGTACTATGACAGGTGGTAGCTATGCATGTGGTGATCTTTGCTTAAAATTATAGGGGTCAAGGCCAAGTCACCCTAAAAATGTACCACAATGGCATATTGATCATTCTGAATCAAACTAACTTGGTAAACCGTTGTTGCCAGGACACCCAGAACTTCCTCTGTCCCTCAGAAAGTGGAGAATAAATCTCCCATGTGGAAACATACCCTGCTTGTCCTAAGAAGTAAAAGGACACCCTTAACACCTGAGAAAGGGACTTTAAAGGTGAGGAAGCTATAGAAATAAACTTTGTTACATTTCTACTAATCTACTATGTCAGCCCAAATTCTGCTTAGAATTCCTTACTCATTAAAGCTCTTAAATGCCTGTTTTCCTTTTCCTGTAAATTCATCCCAAATGGGTAGCCTCTTTGTCTAAATATATAACAACTGCTTGCCTTGGTCATTTCTTTGGGTCTCAACTTTATTAGTGGACCTCTGTGCACACATAATTAAACCATTTTTTTCCCTCCTGTTTATCTGTGTCATGTAAACTTAATTCTTAGTTCAGCTGGAAGACCTTGAATGGCAGAGGAAGAAATCTTCCTCCCCTGCTACATGCAGATGTGTCTAATCACTATGTTGAACACCTGGGGGTAAGATAACATTGTGTGTCAACTTTACCTTGATTTTTTTTCCACAATATCTTTTATTCAGTTGGTTTATATTTCATACAACTCTTTTTTTTCCATTTTTAAAATTTAATTTCTTTTCAGTGTAACAGAATTCATCGTTTATGCACCACACTCAGTGCTCCATGCAATATGTGCCTCCATAATACCCACCATCAGGGTTCCCCAACCTCCCACTCCCCACCTCTTCAAAACCTCAGATTGTTTTTCAGAGTCCACAGTCTCTCATGGTTTACCTTGATTTTTTAAAAAGGGCAACATTTGTAGATATTGTAGACCTGGAAATACAACTGTGAATAAATTTGTTAGCATTAAAAAAGATGTAAAACTGATTTCTGTCTTTTCCACATTTTGTGGAAAGGATTCTGAGTTGGCAGGATTTGAAATTTTCTTCGTCATCAAAAATTCTCTCTTTATCCAGACATCTATCTCAGAAAGCACATATTCAGCTTTATTAGAAACCATGAAATCAGGGACACCTGGGTGGCTCAGTAGGTTAAGCACCTGCCTTCAGCTCAGGTCATGATCCCAGGGTGCTGTGTTCAAGTCCCATATCAGGTTCCTTGATCAGCAGAGATCCCGCTTCTCCCTCTGCCTGCCACTTCCCCTGCTTGTGCACTCTCTCTCTCTCTCCTCCACCCCCTGGCAAATAAATAAAATAAAATAAATTCTTAAAAAAAAGAAAGAAACCACTAATCAGCTTTCAAGAGAGGTGGTACAATTTTATAATAAAAAGGCAAGAACAGGGTGAACAGACATAATGGGAATTGGATGGTGGGACTGATGTGGGGTCATTGAGCAGGATGGACAAGAAAAAATTCTTGAGATGTTTTTGGAGCAAAAAGTTTCTTTTTATGGTAGCACGAGGACAGCGCCTGTGGGCAGAAAGAGCTGCACTGGGATTATGAGACGCAACTGATTATATACTTTTAACTCGGGGTGGGGGGTGGTTGGAGCTATGGGAAGTCTCTAAAGGGATTTCCCTATGTTAAAGAAGACTTACAGGACCCTGGAGGTCTGGTTGTCATCAAGATAAGATCGGTTTTCTTCTCTAGCAAAGCATTAACATTCAGGCAGCTGTGAATTCCTTGAAGAACATCACACTCTGTGTGTCTCAGGCATTTATCAGTGGGCTACAGGTGGTTTAATTTTATCGATGTTTATCGATTTTATCGAAATTTAATTTTATTGATGTTTCTCTTGCCTTGGTTCTCCTCATTAGGATGTCTTCCTCTATCCGTTCCTTACATGAGTGGGATTTAGGAAAGACAGACCAAACAGACTGATAGGGAGCCACATGTATAAGAAATTAGTTGGAGATTCCATTACCTGATTATTGTTAGTGATCCTGCTTAAAGCTCAACCTCTAAAAGAATAGGAGATGATAGGTTTTGCTTTTCCTGAGTAGTCTTCTGCCTCCATGACCTCCTGAGAAGACAGAAATTACTCAGTTAAAATCACCTACTACTCAAAAACTGCCATCCTACCAGAGACTAGGATGAAGGGCATAGGAAATCCCAAGGGAGTAGCGTGTAAGAACTAGGACACTTTCTAGAAATATCAGCCTTCCAGAAGCTTGGAAGATCATTATTACTGCCTGGGATTCTTAATATCACAATAAGGGGACATAGTACTAATTCTAAATATTGCCGGGTAGAAAGGAATGTTTGGGCACGTGACTGATCCCTAAGTGGAAGCAAATCTTTGAGCTTCAGGTTTTGTGACTTGACCTGTCCCTGTGGGTAAAGACATGGATCCCACAGAGTTGCCCTCAGAAGACAGTTCTTATGCACAGGTAGGTGGGCTTAGCCTTGAAAGCTTTTTGTTTTGTTTTAATATCTGTTAATATGAATGTCTGACAACTGAAGCTTTGACTTTGAGAGGTGTTCATTTCAAACAGGCATCCCCTCAAAGACAGTTGTCCAGAATAAACCACTGCCAGCCACACGGTAAGCCGCCAGGACTCCTCTGGCACTGAATCCTTTTTTTAGAGTTCTTTGTTGATTTCCCTAACTGATCATTTGGGCCACATGTTTTTTTTCTCTTCCCAGTGCTTTAAATTCCTGCTCTTGTGTTTTAAATTCTCCAGTAGAGAATGAGTTCCCCAAATCCTAGGTCCTCACCCTCGTCCCCAATAAAAGCAGAACCCTAGACCCCTGCTCCCCGCTTCTCTCCCATCCTTGACCTTGCTGTGTGCCCCCAGTGCACTGTGTAATTTCCAGGTCTTTCCCGATGATTGCTGCTGAAGGACATTTTGCAATTCTAATAACCACAAAGGTTGGTCCAGCCCTAACATTGGTTTGGAAAGGGGATATGTCTGTGGGAGGCTCAGTGGAGCCCAGATGAGTGTTTCCAGGCATTTCTAGCCTATTACCCTACTATAGATGGTCTGAGGTTGCGCAGAACTCCGGAACTGCATGGTGGTAAGAAGATTCACACCATGGAGGAGGGATTTGTCAGTATTAGACTCACAACAACACAGCTTGTCCAAGAGAGGACGATTCTTGTGGGGTTGCTGTGTGGGTTATAGCCTAAAACCAAAACTGTCCCCCAAGGCATCTTATCATATGGAAAAGAACTTGCAAGCCCAAATAGGGAGGGTAGAGGGAGCACTTTCTCAGGGGCGTGGATACCGCGGGAAATCCGCCTACAAGGACCACGGAGCTGTAGAGAACTGACTAGGTATTCTAATACAACACATCACTACCATCATCATTGGGCTTTTACTCTTATTTAGGAAATACTGTTGGATATTGGTGGAAAGCTGATGTCTTTGAGACTCAGTGTGCCAGCTGGTGAGAGGACCAGTTAAGGGAAGGAAGGAATGAATTTGTGAGAGAGATAGAATCTACATAAATGATCACTGTTCTTCACAGGCACATACGCCATGAATAACTAGGAAATACTTCTTTGTGGCACATCTGGCTAGAATTAGAAGGAAGAACCGCGCCACTTTTATTTAGTGAAGTGGGTATGCCCTGGGTTACGAGTCTAGAAAAATCACATAGATTATGCTAAAAATTCCTGATACAACCAGAAAGTTTAATATGGAAAGTGTATTGCATAGTTAAAAATGTTATGTCATAAAATCAACTGATCATATAAAATGACATAAAATGGCATTAATTAAAGCAAGGGCTTCAGCAAAGCTTTGGTTTATGAAAACTTATGAAATCAGGGTAGCGTGCACCCAAATAAGTGAGGATCTGGCATGCACCGACTTCTGCGTAGAACTCAGGAGGAACGCAGCAGTGGGGAGGAGGTGACGTGGAGAACACGTGCACACTCCGTTACAGTTTTCGGGGCGTGAGAAGTGGAGTTAGATTATTATCTTCGGGATGTATTACCAAGATGAAGAACATCACAGATACTTATCTGGCAGGTTGAATGAGATAAGTCACAGGAAACAAATGGCCAACACAAGACTCTGGGCAATGTTTTCTTCACACTTAATACATCAGAGCAGGCCACTGTCTTTGAACACTGTCAACTAGAAACCACACACCAGAAGGGACCATAACCCATTTGTGTGTACTGAGGAGATGCAAAGGTAGGAAGAAATCTTTTCTTGTCTTAACCCCATGTTTTGTCTCTGAGAAGGCGTCTAGGTGGGAGGGATGGATACAAGTGTTTAGACTATGGGGCTCCCTATAAGTCAAGCTAGAGGAACTTTGTGAATGGAAAACTCTTGCTTGAAGTCTTGCTGTGAATGGGTAGTTGCTTTTGTTTCTGGAAGATGAGGGGGAGAGGTAGATATCTGGGTTTCGGTCTTACAGTGTTAGCTAGACTCCCTGCTTTAGGATCAATAACGTGTGTACACTCCCGAAGTTTGGAAGCTGTAATTTAGTCTAGATTTATCTGCTTGGGTAGGTATGGGAAAAATCTGGGTTATGCCCTAATCAAAACATAGAAGTAGGGCGCCTGGGTGGCTCAGTGGTTTAAGCCACTGCCTTCGGCTCAGGTCATGGTCTCAGGGTCCTGGGATCGAGTCCCGCGTCGGGCTCTCTGCTCGGCAGGGAGCCTGCTTCCCTCCTCTCTCTGCCTGCCTCTCTGTCTACTTGTGATCTCTCTCTGTCAAATAAATAAAAAAAAAAAAAAAAAAAAAAACATAGAAGTAAAATGTGGTATATTTCTTAAAGACACAAATCCCTTGCCATTGGATTTTGCTATTGAACAAGGAAGATATTTAAATGTGAATCTATGCTGAGAGTGTTTTCTTTCCTGGTGTCAACAGCAACACAGGGACGTTGGAGGCAGAGACAGCCCAGGACTACACAATAAACCTTCCTGAGAGTGAGAGTATAAGCCAGCTGTGCCACCTGGGTGCCTGGGTTTTGCCCTCCCAGCAGCAGAAGAATCTGCTGCTCTTCCTGAAGGGACAGCCACAGGTCCTAGGGGTGAGTGGGCACAAGATCAGCGCACGGGCTGTGGGGAGAGGAATGACTTCCAAGATGGCACTGGGATTTCCTCATGACACTCCAGTTCTCTAGATCATTGATTGAGGTGGACTGAGTGGAGCCTTCCTGAGCTGCACAAACCTTATAGATTCAAGAAGTGGAAAGAAGTGTAAAGCTGTCCATCACTGGAATTAAAAAAAAAAATTGTCTCTATTTAGGTAGCAATTACATGAAAAAATAGTTTTAACCTACTGTCAATGTCCTGCACTGGACAAGGAAAAAGACTTGATGGGTATCCTGTTATCTTCCTGGGAGATCGTCTCAGGCCTGGGGGTCTCAGAGGTGGGAGAGAAGTTAGTGTGCACTGATCTGAGAGAGAATCTTCCTCCTGAAAAGCTGCACCCTCAAGGATGTCTTTTACCCTCCAGGTGGCTCAGATCCTCATTGGACTAATAATGCTGTGCCTGGGTGTGACAATCAGTCCTTTTCCTCCATTTGAGTACAGAATTCGTTACATGGCCACTAAAACAGGCTATCACATATGGGGATCCTTCTCTGTGAGTATTAGCGATTGTTCCAGCATTTGCAATTTTTCAGGTACCTGCAATACCTTCATCCTTCTCTCTCAAAAATCCACACACTGCTGTGTAGGTCCCAAGCTCGGACTGACTGTTTGGGGAGCAAGGAGGCTGTTGTAAGGACGGGAGGGCAGGGGCAAGCCCTCAGTGAGTTCTCTCTCTTCGGTCAGTTCCTCACATCTGGAGCACTGTCCATTGCTGTGGGAAGAAAAGTAACCAGGTGTCTGGTAAGTGTCTCACTGGTGAGGCTCAGGTAGGTCTAGTGAAACAAGGAATTGCTCAGCTACAAGGCTATGGCACATAGAAACTTGTTGGTTCTCTAAAGGACCCTAGAAGTGTTTGGGGGCATCCCCTACAAGTGCTTCCTCCATGGCACGTAGGCAAGAATGAAGGGCTTAGCTCTGTGCTGTGTGAAGTTCCATGGGCACATGTTTCCTGTGCCTAAGACTGAGGCAGCCAAAACTGTAACTGTGCCAGGGGCCCATCCTTATTCCGTAGACTGGGGAAGATCCCCAAGCAAATTCCCATATTCAACTCAGAGCAGCTGAATGGTCCTGACTGACAAGTCGAACACAGGAAGAACAGGAGAAGGGTTTGCAATAAATTCTCTCTCTCATTCTTTTCAGATCCAATGCAGCCTGGGATTGAATACAGTCAGTGCTATTGTAGCATAATTGGCACAATTATGATAATTTTTGAAGAAATATTCATATATGGAAATGTGATATGGAGGTCTTCCTATGGAAGTTTATTTACAGTAGGTATATCCTGTTCTTTTAATGGAAATCTGTAAACTGGTCTTGTCTGAATTTTCCTCTGTGAATTCTCACCGCAGAACTGACCACAGCCACTGGTTATGTAGATGCTGGACACCCTCTTGAAGGCGAAGGGATCTAGGCCTTTGCGTCTTGCCAGGAGCACTGAGCAAAAAAGTTAGCTTTTCAATACCATTCATGTCTGAAATCTCTGATGTGTGGTCGGTGAGTGGAAAATTCTGTGAGAACTCAGTTCTCTGAGGGACACTTTTCTTATGATTTTAAAAACTATCTGAGGAGAAAAAGAAAACTGGTATTCTGGGTGCTCTGTGAGGTTCAGAGATTCTGAACAACCAGCTGAAGTGATGGGGGAGTGTGCATTCATATTCTTAAATGCATGTGCAGCCAGAGAGGGGGAGAAGTTCAGGGGGTTAAACTCAGGCTGTTCTAAGAAACAATTGCTGAGAGACCGAAGGAGACATGTAAGCCAAGAAGTCAGCCCTGGTCATGAGACATGGGGCGGAGTCAAGCAAACAAACGAAAATCAGTATGGACATGCCCGGAATTACCCGATGTTCTTGAGCCTGTGAGGAAAAGAGGAGAATTCTAATGATCCATTTTCAAGTTGTTCATTTGGTATATTTGAATTGGGAGAAAATTCAGGAATCCACCAGATGTGAAATTTGGCCAACAAGCTCTGCCCGATTCTCTCCTCTTACAACTCCTGCTTTTCTGTCTTCTATAACTTGTGGGGATTTTCCATCTGTTTTGCAGGGAATGCTGACTGGAATGGTGTTCCTCTCTCTGGCAGAAGGCTGCATCGCTTTGTCTCTCTGTATCTGTGCATGCAAGGTGGCCTGTTCTGTCAACAAGGTGAGTGCTCTGGGTCTTTATGGGTTCTCTCTCTCCTCTCTGCCTCCGTGTGTGTGTGCGTGTGTGTGTGGGGGGGTGTCCTCTTTTTGTTGGGGGGTATTAGGAAGAGAAAGTGGGAAAATGTTGTTTCATATATAAATCTTTATCATCTTTGAAGGAGATAGCACAGGTGGACAGGGAGGGAAATGGCCAACCATACTCAGCCAAAGAACTGTCCCTAGACCCTGAAGAGTCCTCTTTTTCTTTTTCTTTTTTTTTTTTTAAAGATTTTATTTTTATTTATTTGACAGACAGAGATCACAAGAGCAGCTGGCAGAGAGAGAGAGAGGAGGAAGCAGGCTCCCTGCTGAGCAGAGAGCCTGATGTGGGGCTCGATCCCAGGACCCTGGGATCATGACCTGAGCCAAAGGCAGAGGCTTTAACCCACTGAGCCACCCAGGCGCCCCAAGTCCTCTTTTTCTGATAGGCAGTTCGTTTGTGGTATTGTTGAAGGAATAGAGGGTTAAAGCAAGAACGAGAACATAGACCCACCAAGTATCAGGATTCTGAAGGAAAGTGTTGAGAGACCATATTGTTCCTAAGCATGTGGGACAACTTCCCCCTAACTGTAGACTATAAGGATTCAATGTTCTGATTTTTCCACAGGTGGTGGTTTTCTTACTGAATAATGACAACAACCCCTCAGTAGTCTCTCCTGAACATGTGTATGATGAGGTCACATTTTAGTAGATCACGGTGGTTTGGCATTTCCAATCAGTTTGACCTATTAATTCTCCCTTGTTTGGCTGTTTACCACATACAACCAAGACTGTGAGAATACACCTGCCTGACTGTCCTTAAGTTTATATACCTGGGATCCATCTGTGGGTGGAAACACAGTATAATAAAGATTTATTTTATTTGCTGATGAGGATTTTTCTTTTTATTGCCCACCATGCCATTGACCAGCTTTTCAAGGAATCATAAAACAGTTCAGTCTATGGTCCCCAAATCTGCATAAATAGAAATAAATTGTTTGATTCAGATTTTCTCGTATCAGTCCACGCTGTGCCAAATCTTTCACAGGAGACAAAGAAATACACGTTGATTATTTCCTATTCCAACAGCTCTGTGTGTCCCTATTTTTTTTTTAGATTCTGCCCCCCTGGCTGAAGATTCAGGACATTTCTACTGCCAATGATTTCTTAGTCAAGGTCAAGCAAAATATTACTTATATTTTTCTTCCTGGGTTCCTTGATACCCCTCTCAGATACAGGCATTTTGGGATTCAGAATAGCCCCACAAAACTCTTTAGATCCTGATTCCTAGAACCATTGCATATATTACATGGCAAATGGGAGTCAAACATTGCAAAAATAATTAAGATTGCGAATCCTGGGTTGTCTCTCAGGCCCAATATAATCATATGGGTTCTTAAAAGTAGAGAACTTTTCCTGGTTGTGGACATGGAGGTGATATGACAATGAAAGAAGAGTCAGAGATCCAGTGTGACAAGGGCCTGACCCACCATTGCTGGCTTTGAAGGGGCTGGTGTCAGGGGATGTGATTATACTGGGCCCAAGAGACAATTCAGGAGACTCTCCTTATTTTCATCTTAATGAATTAATAATTATATTTCATTAACCAAATATATAACATTTATTTATTTTATTTAATTTAACATATAATATTTTATATAATTAAATATAATTAAATATAATAATTTAATTAAATATATAACATTTATTTGTTTATTTATTTTTAGAGGGTGAGAAAATGCCAGTTGAGTGCGGGAGGGGCAAAGGGAGAGAGAGAATCTTGGGTAGGCTCCATGCCCAGCATGTAGCCTGACATGGAGCTCAATTTCACAACCCTGAGATCATGACGTCAGCCAAAATCAAGAGTCAGGTGCTCAACTGGCTGAGCCACCCAGGTGCCTCCTCCCTATTTTAAAGTCAGATTAAGCAGCAATCCTCATTCATCCTGTCTGAGGAGCCACTGGTTTTCCTTCCAGTTAATAAATGACAGATGATATAAATATAGACTGGCGGAAAACATAATCATTGAAATCATAAAATCTTAAGTGAAATTAATAGGGAGAAAGGTAAAATTGGACTCATAACTCACATCATATAAAAGGCACTTCCATATGAATAATGGATTTAGGAAAGAAAATCATTACAAAGTCTAGAAGGCAGTGTAGAATGATGTAGTACTATGTTGAGGCACAGAAAAATTTCTCAAGCAAGATGAATAGAACTTGCCTGAAAGTATGTTTCATTACAGTAGGTGCAAAATTAATTCTTCAATTAAAAAGAAACAAAAAGAGAGTGAAAAATCAAGAAGTAACTTTCTAAGGCATAATTGCAATACACAAAACATCAACAGGATTAATGTGTAGCATCTTTAAAAAAAAGATTTTATTTATCAGTTTGAGAAAGAGAAAGTGAGAGAGAGCATGAGCAAGAGGAAGGGTAGAGGGAGAGGGAGAAGCAGGTTCTCTGCTGAGCAGGGAGCCCCATGTGGGACTTGATCCCAGGACCCTGGGATCATGAACTGAACCAAAGGCAGATGCTTAACTGACTGAGCCACCCAGGCGCCCCTATTGTGCAGAATCTTTACAGACTTCAACAAATCAACTTTTTAAAAAAGACATAGAAAGGGGCAAAAAAATATTAACAGGGACATCATAGAAGAGAATATGCAGATAACAAAGAAGCACAAGAAAATCCACCTTATCAGTCTTCAGGGAAATGTAAATTAGGTCCATAGTGGGGGCACAACTTCCTGCCAACTAGGAAACCTGATGACACCAGCTGATGGCTAAGATGTCGATTAATGTGAACATTTACTCTTATTTTGAGGGAGACATTTGATTTAAAAAACATTCCAGATAACAATTTTAAATTTTCTCATAAAGTTACATACCATGTTTTCCTAAGAACCAGTTCTTGCTCTCCTAGCTATAGACCCAAGGGTATACTTGTTTTTTTCTTTTTTTTAAGATTTTGTTTATTTATTTGAGAGAGAAAGAGGGAGACAAAGAAAAGGACAAGAGAGTGTAGGGTCAGAGGAAGAATCAGACTCCCTGCTGAGCAGGGAGATCAATGTGGGGCTGGATCTTGGGACTCGAGGATCATGACCTGAGCAGAAGGCAGATGCTTGGCCAACTGAGCCATCCAGCTACTCCCCCCTCCACACCCCGAACTAAGGTATACTTGCACACATGTAGACTAGGACTCAGGCACCAAAAGGTATTTTTTTTAAAGGTTTTATTTATTTATTAAAGAGAGGAGAGATTGCAAGCTGGAGGGATAGGGAGAGAGAATCTGAAGCAGACTCTACACTGAGCATAGAGCTCAGTGGGAGGCTTGATCTCATGATCACGAGACCATGACCTGAGCTGAAATCAAGAGTCAGTTGCTTAAACTACTGAGCCACCCAGGAGCCCCACTGAAACGTATTTTAAAGCAAGGATGGTGACAGCATACAATTGAAATAATGCAAACATCCCATTGAACGTAATGGATAAAACACATACACACACACACACACACACATGCCTAGAGAGAGAGAGAGAGAGAGAGAGAGAGGGCAGTATGTATGTGTCCAGGAACATTATAAGGCAATGAACATGAATGAACCAGAACTCCATGTGGCAACCTCAATGAGTCTATTTTGAAGTGAAGAAAAGGAAGGGTGCTAAGGGGACCAAAGAGGGACATGCCTGTCAGAGGAAGTAGAGTAATGGTGTGTATGGTCTATCATCATGGGAAGATTCTCAGACCAAGGAGAGAAGGGATTCTGATTATTTCTGAAAATGGTAATTAGGCCTAACCAATTAACATTTGAGCTTTCTTCATTATTTTTCTTTTTTGTTTTGTTTCCATTTTCTTTGGTAAATCCAGTTACAAGAATCTTTTTCCTTAAACTTTCTTTTTTAAAGATATTTATTTATTTGAGAGAGAGAGCCAGAGAGAGTGACAGAGAGCAGGAGCAGGGAGGAGAGGGAGACATAGGCTTCCTGCTGAACAGGGAGACTGACATGAGGCTTGACCCCAGGACCCTGGGATTGTGCCCTGAGCTGAAGGCAGACACGTAACTGACTGAGCCACCTAGGTGCCCTGAGAATCTTTTTCTTTAAATCACCAGCCCATGATCTTTATGAGAATGAATGTGGCATTTGCAATACTACCTCCTTAAATGGTTCTGTTCACATTTCATTGGGATAAAGCATGTGGAAGGGGGTTCTCTACTTCCTATGAAAAGCGAGCATTGTCGTGTGAAGAACAGTGCATGAACAGACTCCCCCACAACAGAGTCAGGTTTGAACCATGGCCAAACTACATATGAGTGGTGTGACCTACAGCAGATCTTGTCTTTGCTAATCCTGAATTACCCATCTATAGAATAGGGGTAGCTACTAGGGGATGTGCTATGGCTGGAGGGTTGCTTTCTCTTCTATGGTGTTTCCTTCCATGGGGAGGGAGCTCCATCAGAGCATCTGTCTTATGCATCGCTATCTACTTCCGCAGAAAGGAAGAGGCAGTGTGGTACGTTTGGGAAGAGAAACCAGGCATAATGTAGACAGTCACTGCTCCCTCTGGAAGAGTAAGCTGACTGCAAAGCTTACAAAAATGTAGTACATGACAGTGGCTAACCTTGTGTGGGTCCTGCCTTGCTATGACTTTGCATGGTTGTGTCATTCTGAGACCCATTCTTGGGAAATCTAGAAGCCACCAGTTATAAGCCACATCGGCCAGTATCAGATTTACTGATCTTCTGTTTTACTCTCTCATTTTCTAAAAGGTGAGAAACATGATGAAGGACGATAAATAATATTTACTGGGTGTCCCTCAAATCTCAATCCTTGATGCTTAAGTCAGGGCCACTGAAAAGGAAATAAAACTACTATCTTGGGTCACAGAATGATGCGCACAGATAGAAACTTCTTGCGGGGCATGGAGGATGGACTTACCCTTTTGCGGTCCTGTAGAGGGGCCTTGTGGGGTTTCTACCTTGACAGTCATCTAGCTCGTAAGAGCATGGTCCCTTGATGGATAGTTACATCTGTAAACTATAAAAGAACCAATAGGAGATATTTATAACTATATCTATACCTAGCTGTGTATCTATCTAACTAACAAAAGAGGAGAAAGAGTTTTTTATTTTATTTTATTTTATTTTTAAAAAGATTTTATTTATTTATTTGACAGAGAGAGATCACAAGTAGGCAGAGAGTCAGGTAGAGAGAGAGGGGGAAACAGGCTCCCTGTCGAGCAGAGAGTCCGATGTGGGGCTCGATCCCAGGACCCCGAGATCATGACCTAAGCCAAAGGCAGAGGCTCAACCCACTGAGCCACCCAGTGCCCCAAGAGTTGTTTATTTTAAAGAATTGACTCACGTAATTATGGAGGCTGGCAAATCTAAAATCTGCAGGGTAGGATAATGGAGGGTCTTCAGCTCTACTCAAGCCCTCTAATTTAAATGTTAAACTCATCTAAAAAATACCTTCACAGAGACAACTAAAAGAATGGTTTGACCAAATATTTGCATCCTGCAGCCTAGCCAAGTTGACACAGCATTATCCATCACAGTAAACATGTAGGAGGAATTTCTCAGTACAGAAACGAACTCACCATGCTAACAAAGACAGTAGGGTATCAGCTACCGCAGGATGAAAAGAATTCCCAAGTAGGCTTTTACATATTAAGGAGTAGAAAATTATTCTATCCTGCAGCTCAGGA